TCAATCTCTGTTCTGATTGACATATTAATGCCTAATTCTGAAGATACATAGTTACTCTAAAATAATAACTGCCATCTATGCAAATGTTAGTTAAAGGCATTAAAGATGCCTCATTCTTCTATTATTTATTTGATTTTTGTTATTATTTCTTTTATTTTTATTTTTGAGAATTTCATACATGAGCATTGTCTTTGCATTATTTCCATCTCTTCTAGTCTCTTACCAACTCCTCCCTTATCCCTCCAGTCCCTTGCAATTTCTTGTACTCTTCTTTATTATTGCTACATATATCTACATATTTTATAGTACCTTCATCTTTTCTTACTCATGTTAAACTGAGTAGTAAAAGAAATATTTTGTTGTGAAATTTTCATATATATTTATTATTTTTATTCACCTTTTCACTTTCCATTTCCCTCTATTTATGATCCTTTCCTGTCTACAAATAGGCTCTCTGTCTTCATGACACATGTATTCTGCACTGTCTCTTCCTTTTTCTTGCACATTGCCTGTGGGCTTCTTTCTCCTCTCAGTCCCCTTTCTACTTTTGTAACACACACACACACACACACACACACACACACAAACACACAGACAGACAGACACACAGACAGACACACAGAGAGAAAGAGAAATTTAAGTAGGACTTTATGTGGAAAGATTGCAACAGTCTTCCCATTGTGTCATTCTAAGAATTGTTTATATAAAAATCTATCTTAAATTGTGGTTTCATTCACATTCTTTTTTATTTTTCCAAATTTATTCATACCAAAACTCTCATGACTCCTGTTAGCTTCAAAGACAAATCCAAATTGCTCAAACTGATACCCAAATTATTTCATATCTGAGTTTAGTTTATTATTTTTCTACTGTACAAACCCTTCAGCCAACTCACTCTCTCATGTGCACCTCTAAATTCATGCCTCTTCTCACTCTTGAGATCAAGTCAACATCTGCCTCTTCTGTGAAAAATCTCTGAAAGTCTAAGTATGAAAATGATGCCTTAATTCCTTAGATTCATTTTCCATCAGTATAACAAAAAGTGTACTAGTATATAGTGTATCTCTTCTGTGTAGATCTCCTGTGCTAAAAACTACTTATGGGCAAGAACAACACATTTGCCCACTTTCTATCTTATCTTCATATCAAGTGACTTAAGAAACCAATGCTTAGAACTGCCATCGTTTACTAGAATGTAAAACTTCTGAACTTCTTCAAAGTCTAAGATTGAATTTGAAAAATGTTGCCCTTAAGGGAGGAGGGAAGCTGCCTCTTGCTGTGTCCTTGAGATATTTATTGGTAATTCATCTCCCCTTCCCTGTCTTTGGAATGATTTACCCAAATGAATGTACTCCTCCACATCCTTTTTGTGGTTTTTTTCACTATTTAATATAATAGCTGGAAATAATTTTCAATTCGTCTTAGTCTCACAGATAATCTCAAAGTATAGTGCAAATTTAAAAATAAACCTATCTTCTGATAGATGTTCTAATCAGAGTATTTAACAACAGTGATATAGGAAGTAAATAAAAGAAGAACAAAGAATAAGTCCCTTCAGTGAGATGGTATGATTAAGAAGTCTTCAGAGATGAAAAGTTAGGATTATAAATTTCAGTGGACTTGTACAGGTATAAAGAAGAAAATATTTGAAGCTATTTTATGACCGATTAACTTTTCAGGCTTCTAGTGTGTAATCACACCTTGATTCCAAGCTGAATTTCACAGGGTTTAACAAACAACAAAATACCTTACATTTGTCTAATACAATGAGCTACTTCAAAATAGTCACTCGGTAAACAGTTTATTTCCTACTAGAAGGGTTATTGCTCATGGAAAGACATTGAGAATGTTGCCAACAAGGTCTCCTGCTATTATGAAAAAAAAGAAAATGCAAACAACAGCTCTTACTTCATGGAATTTGGCAACTACACCCCAAGAATATTAGGAAGCAATTTGGCTAAGCCTTGAAAGTAGGGAAAAGAGCTTAAGTCACAATGGAATGACAGCCAGCATCAATCAGGAAGAGGAAATTGCTTGTTTAGCAAAGAGAGTGAAACCTGATTAGACACTATTAGATACGAACAAATAAGAAATGGTTTAATTATAATTTCACAAAGGAAACTAGAGAAGTAATAATTTCCTGGGGAAAGAAGAATTCTCCCTTAAAAGTAGGAGAGTAAGAGTTTTTGTACAGTGATTTATTCTCCTAATGTTAAAATATAGAGAGAATGTTAGACATTTATTTCCAAGAAATCTGGTTTGTAATTGTGAGTATTCCTTTTCTCTATTCTAACTAGGATAAAATTCCAGAATTTTAATATATTTGAAATAGAATCAGAAGACAAGAAACATGAGATCTATCTCATATATTCTTGGAAGTTGCCTGCACTAGCACACCATGACCAGTCTAAAAGAGGATGACTGCCTCTCTTGCCTGTCAATATGTATGGAAAGGGGCTTCTAGTCTCCTCTACCACCCTTGGGAGTAAGGAATCATATTTCTTCTTTTTAGTCAATATTTCTTGTTTTATGTAAAATCATTCTCATAATACAGTCATAAGATCTGACTCTTAAGTAATGAACTACAGAGTTCCTGTGAAAAAATTTGCCACATTTAATCTTATAGTTTGTTTAGTCATGTCTAGAAGTGTGACTTTTATTTTAAAATCTAATTTGCTCTGCATTTGGGTACACAAGTATGGCATTTACCAAGTGCATTTTTCATTTTTGGTTGTTACATAGCAAAGATGATATCTCTAAATACAGTCATACTAGGTCTGAATCAGTGCTGGAGGTAAACAGTTGCCTGTTTCCTATAAATTTAATTTTCCCTATGAGAATGTCATGTAACACTTAGATTTTCCTCACTTTAAGTTAGTGCATTAATTCTTCACTTGGTACATGAACAACTCTCCTTGGGGGAGGGAGGTTTCTCTGTCACAAACCACTGAACATTCTCTACCTTTGTTTGGCTTCCCCATGTACCAACAATAGCCTAGAGTTTAAAATGAATTAATGCCTTAAATTGAAAAATGTAGGAAAATGGATTATAACTAATAAGCTTAAAATAGTCTTTGTAAAAAAGCTACTTTTCTCATTGTGTGATGTTTTAATTATGAATATTTAAATTGCCTGAATATTAAATTTGGCTATATAATGTTTATGAACACCTTAGTTAATTCCATATGAGATATGGAAGACTATAAGAAGCTAAATGCCACATTTCTGCCCACCATGTGAACAGCTTTATTATCTAGAATAACAATTCAATAGAATGTAAATGGTTTTATGACCTTTAAATCTATGAGTATTATTATTATTTTCCATTTTATCTCATGTTTCAGTTTCTTCTAAAACCATGATTGCACTTGTCTGAACATATATCAAATGTATTCATTCATGATTTCATTTTTCATTAAACAAATTTTCACAAACTGGACAAAAATATCAACCTCTTTAGGAAAGCATTTGCTTTCTTGAACATTTTCCTAAACATTTCTATCATTTCTCTTTTATTTTAGAATCAAAGCACAAAATTGTATGAAATGCAATTCTGAAATTCTCCACTTTTAATAACAATTATTTCATTTTATTTTAATAAACTTTTTTTAGTACTGGGGATCAAATTTAGGGCCTTAGGCATACAAGGTGATTGCCCCACATCAGAGCTACATCCCCAGTCCTCCTTTCTCTTTTTATTTGCAGACAGGGTCTTACTAAGTTACCTAGGCTGCCCTTAAACTGTAGACCAAGCAGGCCTTAAATTTACAGTCCTCCTGCCTCAGTTACCAGTGTTGCTGGGATTCCAGATTTGCACCACCAGGCCTGACATAACTAATTTTTTTTGCTTACTACTGAATTTTAATATAAATAAATTATACAATTCAGGTACATAAAATGGAATACTTCCATAGGCAAAGATAAAGGGACAGGTATACATTGCCCATACTTTTTCCTGCATTCCACTCTTCTGGCACCTTGATGTGTTCACTAACTCAGAAACACCATTTGGCCATTTGCAACTGAACTCACTCTGGAATACCCTTTCCCCATATCTGTAGGTTTTAGGTAGAAGAACAATGGGAAATTCCAACCATTCAATTTTATCAGCTTTTATGGCGACTAGCCTCATTCCTCAAGTTCTATGAAGACTTCAACACTAGCTATTTAACTACAAACTCTTATGCATAAATCAAATTTGACCGTTTTATTGATAACTTCTTTTGTTAGTGAATTCAAAAGTTGATGACCAGTTAAAAATAAGATGTTTCTCCCAAACTCTGTGAAAGTGTTCTTTCAAATGGCTTTTTAAGCTAAATATCATCAGGGGTAGTTCTTCATTCGTGTAATCACAGCACTTGGGGGAGCAAGGCAGGAGAATTACCATTAGCAAGGTCAGCCTTGTCTACCAAGCAATTTCCAGTCTGGACTAAGACCCTGTGTCTGAAAACAAAACAGCAAAAAAACCCCAGTAACTTTGACTTTTTTCTTCATTACTCTTCTGCATCCTTTTTCTTCGTGATCTCCCTCACTCCTTTCTGTCATAATCTAAGTTTTCACTCATTCCCTCCAACCACTCCTGAGCAAGCTACCTTTAGGCAGGCCCTCATCTGTCACTCTCTTACAATATTTTATATATAATCAAATATTTTATTTTAAAGGATACAATGTTAACACATGTTAGAGGACAAGTGAACTAAAATCAGTTACCTATAAATTAGTTTATGAAATCATGATGTGTTGAATGAGATATTTAAAGTTTTAAATAATTATAACTAGGAAAAGATAAATAATGCTATATTTACATAAAAACCAAACTTTTACACTGAAATGTACTTTTTTTTTTTAACCATGAAGCTGATGAGGTAAGTTGTTACAAGAATTTTCCTCCACTGGTTTACAAAAAAATTCCATAAAGGAAACATGTGATGTTTTCTTGGATTGCGGATCAAATGATACTTGACACAACTTGAAACAGGAGAGTGGTATCATAAACATACCTTGTCCTTGGGTTACTCCATAAAATTCAGCTGCTATCCTTGCGGCTTCCTTGCGATTGCCTTTCACGATGTAGAAATGACTAAGGATGGCAAGACTGATTTTCACAAAAAGCTTAAAACAGAAAAGAGAAAGTATCGTAAAGTAGACATTGGATAACTGCTGAGCAAACGGTCGGCTTTCTTCTAACACCGACATCGCTGCAGAGAAATTTGCCACGGCCCTCAGTCAGAGCCAAGTCTCAACTCTGTCTGGCTCTGTTCTGAGATGCTCTTGAACAGCTGGTCCTGAGGAAAGAAAATATCAACTGGTAATGATGTCTACAGCTCAAATTATTTATACTGTCCACAAAAGTTCTTCGCCAGCTCCTATTGGTCTGACAATATTCCATGGAAGTAACTGAATCAGGTTTCGCAAGCCTCCTGACTTTCCATTCTCAACATAAAATGATACAGCACCTTTCTGCTCCTGATTCAGGAGCCAAATATTCAAATAAATAATGCCAATGGTTCTCTTTTCCATTATCTAATTACCTAGAACAAATAGGGGCCAGCGAGATGGCTCAGTGGGCACCAAGCCTGAGACCTGAGCTTCATCGTTGGGACCCACATCGTGGAACAAGAGAGCCTCCTCCCACAAGTTATTCTCTGACCTTCACACGTGTTTCAATAAGTGCACGTGCACACATTAACACAAATAAATTAAAATGTGCTAAAATAAAAAGAAAATCGAAAGCATTTGTGTTTAGGATCCCCATGGTTCATATGATATTCCTAACACTGAAGAAAAGTTAAGTCTTTCAATTCAAGGATGCAAAATTGTCCTATTTGTAGACCATGAGCTAAATCAGCAAAGAAGCCATAAACTGGACCTTAATGACTACCCACTGAATTAACTAATTTTATTATTGATTTCATTATTGTTATTAAAAACTTAATTTCTTACAGTGCTTAGGCCTATCAGTGACTAATAAGGTTATACTGTTATTCACCCACTGAACATTTTAAATCACCTATTCTTTTCTAGATGCTGGGGTGTCCAAGATGAATTGTGATAGTCCCTGCCACCAGGACACCGTCATTGTAGAGGATAAAATGCAAAAAGTCAGATCAATACAATAAGGTACAGACAGGATATCATGGCAGCACAAAGCAAAAGAGCCTACTCATGGTGAGAACTCAGGGAAGGCTTCCTGGGAGAGGTGGCATACACAAAGAATTGCCAAGTAAATTCTGCTGATGCATAAAGGCTGTCCAAAAATAAAGTATTAGAAATCTAGTTGTGCTAGGCCTAAACTACATTTTAGACCTATAATTGTGCATAATCCTAATCTTATCTATTCATGAATGAAGTATGACTGTACAAATAAGCATCCAAAAATAAAGTATTATAAATCTAGTTGTGATAGGCCTAAAAAATATTTTTAGACCTATAACTGTGGATATTCCTAATCTGATCTATTCATGAATGAAATATGACTGTACATATAAGCATCTTTGGGCACACAGACATTTAAACTATAGTTTAAAGTGAAGTAGAATCAATTAGGAAGAAAAGTAATGCAAATCAAATTTGTTTTTTATACATTTCTTTATACTCATTTCTATTTTTCTTCTGAGGTAATATTTTCCCACTTAAATTGAACAAATATGCCCCAATACAGCATGTCATATTATACATCATTTATTTGTATCACCAGGTTTAGAACCTGCTAATTTTTTGATTACTTTTCTGTTTGTTTATTAGGGTTTTTATTTTGTTTTCTTTTGCTTTTGAGATAGAGTCTCCCTCTAGCCCCATCTGGCTGGGAACTTGACTAAGCTGGCCTTAATCTCATAGAGATCTACCTGTCTCTGCCTCCCAAGTGCTAGGATTAAAGGCATGCACCACGATACCTGACTCTTGGGATAATTCATAATTATTCTGATAAATGATAAGTTTCAGAATAACAAGAACAAAGACAGATGAAAAAACAACAGTGGCTCTAGTTAGAGAAAAGAGTTTATCAGTGATAGCTCATTCTGGTAAGTGTTCTTTTTCATGCTGTGTATCACATCTGATTATTCTGATTTAGATAAAACATTTCTGACAAGGGAGACATAGTCATTAAATAAATGTGTCAAATAAAACAGGCCATTCCTGTCCCTAGTGAATGTATTGATCCTTGAAACATAAAATAGATCAATATATTAGAAAGGAATTACCAGGCTCTTTGATAATGGCTCTTGATTTAGATTTCAGAAGCAACACTGGTAGAACAAATCCCATCAGACCCTTGTGTCATTTGGGACACAGTGAAAATTACTGAAGATAAGTTAACAATGTGTTCCTCTTGAGCACTGAAGTGAAACTGTGTCAAGTAAATGAACTCATCATGGTTACCTTCTGATGAGTCTTCTCTTGGCATGTGTGATGCCTGGCCACACACTGGAGAGGAGCCTATGGACAGCTGGGCCATCACAATGCTCTGAGTCACAGTGTGACTTCCACTTCCGAGCTTCAGCATCATAAATAAACTTGCCTTAGTCACATCTAAGTGCCTTTCTAAGGTTTCACTCCTTTCTCTTTACCAGTAAGAGCTATTATAAATAATTGTCTCCACATCAGCTACTCAGCAGCCTGGATTCTTTTAGTCTAAGAAACATTTCTATTCACTAGGGCTGTCGTCATTGGTTCCCTAAGTTTAAATTCTTACTGTTTTACTAGGAGAAAAATATTCTACACAATATTTAGAATTTTATTTTCAGACGTCAGATTTTGTTTTTATAAATTCCTTTAGTGTCAGTCCTTTGTAGAATTGTAATATTTTCTCAGCCAAGTTTGTCCTTTATGTTAGTCTATTAGCTAATTAATTTTAAAGCTCAATAAACTAACTCATGGTAAATGAACTCATAAATACAAATCTGATGATTCATTTTCACGTTAAAATCTCTTCCAAATACCATATTAAATAACTATAATAATAAAACACTATGAAAAGTATTCGTATATCCATTTTCCAGGCGTTAGTATTTTCTTTTTAAAAATATTAGTAGAGAACTAGGGAGATGGCTCGATTGCTAAAGTCCTTGCCGTACAAGCACAAGGACTTGATTTTGATCGCCGGCACCCACATCAAAAAGCTGGCATGAGGCATGTGCTTGTGATCCCAGGGCTGGGGAAGTAGAGACAGGAGGATTTCTGTGGCTTGCTAGTGAGAAAGCCTAGCCAAATTGTCAAGGCTCAGATCCCAGTGAGACTGCCTTGTAGCTAGGAATTTAGGTAGTTTATTGCAATAAACATTTTTACTGTTACAATACTGAGGCATCCTTTGTTGAGCAGCTCAACTTTCCTAACATCACTAATTTTGATCACTCAATCAAACCAAAGAATCACTCAGAGAAATTGAACCCAACATTGTGTTAGTAGGATGGAGAATGTGAGAGTTCAAAACACAGAAAGAAAATATGTATGGAGGGTTAGTCTATGCTACTAGCTATAAGCTACACACACACACACACACACACACACACACACACACACACACATTTGCTTTCTTACTGTATCAAAGGAGAATTACTTTTCTTCATATTTTAAAGATGAGAAAAATTGGACCCAGAAAGCTCTAGTGACCTACAAAAATTAACTGTGAGCAACAGCATGCTATGAACATAGTTCCAACTCTAAAAAAGATATCCAAGTTCCCTCTGACATTTTCTATCTTAAGCACTTATTGTTTGACAGAGAAAATAAAATTCATGTTGATAGAGATTGAAATAGTAAGAAATAGTCACACACAAACACACACATACACACACAAACACAAATACTACATATAAGATTATATTTAATTAGGTGTCTAAGCTAGTTAGGTAGACCATATGCATGCTATGATGACTAAATGAATTAGAACCTATGTAAGCTCAACAAATGAAATAAAGGAAAAAGAGAATGTTCATGATAAGGTGAATATCTTTGGATTATTTAAAGCTAACAGTTGATAACTGGTCCCATAAAAATAACAGAGAGGGAGCTAAGGAAAGTTGTAAGAAGTCAGTACATTAAATACATTGTGTTGAGTAGAATCAAACACAAGAGCAAAAATAACTAGAATATACAAAATGCTACTAAGTGTGAACAGAAGGGTTGGGGCAATGGCTCAGTCAGTAAAAATGTTTGTCACACAAGCATGAGGAACTGAGTTTGAATTTCCAAGTCTTTTGTATAACGCTGAGCTCGAAAGCATGTGTCTATAATCATAATGCTGAGAAAGCAGAGACAGAGGTTTGTCAACAGAAAGTCTAGCAGAATTTGTGAGTTGCAGGTTCAGTGAAAACTGTGGTGGAGGCCCAGGCACATTTAGTCACACAACGAATATCAGTCCAACCAAGTATGTTTCCTAGGCCCCTGCCTGTAATGCCTCCACAAGACCAAGCCCATCCAGAATCCCACCAAGTATGAACCAGTTAGGTGAGACCCCAAGACACTTGTCCAGATACAGCCAAAATTGTACCCAAGTGTCCCTCAAATCCATTCCTGCAGAGCCCTCACATTCCCAGGTCCAGCTTGAACTGCACTTGGCAGACTAGCTAGGTATGTCTGCCCATCTGTTTACCCCGCACTCTCCTTCCAGCCATAGGTCCAGCTGAGAGTCCCACTCACATGCTCTTTCAATGAGTATTCCCCAGATCCTTTGCTTGGCCCCTCCTTTCTATTATCAGACCCAACTGGGAGCAACATTTCTACACAATCTCCATTAATTCTGAACTGGAATCAACTTGGTCTCTCCAATGAATCAACACCAAGTTATCTGAAGGACTGATCTACAAACAAACCTACATACCTGATTTGGAATCACATAAGTTTAGACAACAGAAAAACTTCCACTCAACAAAGGCAAGCTAGAATCTCATATCAGACACATAACCAATGAAATAAAATCACATGCTCCGGCACATTGCAAAAACATTAACAATATGAAAAGCCAAGACAGCATGACCCTTCAAAACCACTAGTCCTATAGAAATGTTATCCAATGAAAATTACTTGGATGAACCTCAGGACACAGAATTTAAAAATCAAAATTATAAACATGACCAAAGTTTTTTTTTTTTTTTTTTTTTGGTCTTTTTGAGACAGGGTCTCCCTGTAGCCCCAGCTGTCCAGGAACGCACCATGTAGACCAGGCTGGCCTTGAACTCATAGAGATCCGCCTGCCTCTGCCTCCCAATTGCTGGAATTAAAGGTGTGTGCCACCACGCCCAGCCTATGACCAAAGAATTTAAGGACCTTAAAGAAGATATAAACAAACACCTCAATGAATGTAATGAGGC